TCGCGCTCTCTCTCTCTCTCTCTCTCTCCTCTCTCGAAGTCTCTCTCTCTCTCTCTCTCTCTCTCGAGTAACCTTTCTCAACATTCCTCGCATTTTCCTTTCCTTTCTCTTCACACTACTAGTCTTTGGAATTGCCAAGCACATAACATGTTCGACCAACGGTGTCGTGACCTCTCTTTCCGATTGAACTGGGATGGCGAGGCACCAGGCAGGTAGCAAACGACAGACTGTGTGTCTGCCAGCTGCCTTACCTGTCCGCTTCCGCCTACTCCACGAAAATGACCAAAAATTACAATTGTCATACGAAGCTAAAAGCAAAAAATAGCTGACCTTTGAAGCACCGAACCGCCGGTGATTCTGGACGAACACCGCGAAGCCCCTGGATAAACGCCGTTGGGACTTCAGGACTGATAATATCAAGGCCCCTGGGTATGTACTTTGATGTCATGCATCGACGGTACGTCGACACGGATTTTTTTGTGATGCCTCGATGGCTTTCGAAGGTTCTTACACGTACCCTTTGCGTTGTGTCTGCACTCCGTGGGCGGGCTTTGACCAAAAAACGAATCGATTCATCATTCAAAAGAGAGACGGAACTGCATTCCTGACCGGTTCGTTTCATCGCCAGGACGATAAAATGGCGCTATCGTTTACCGATCCCGCGAGTTACGTGACGTTCCGCATTTAACTAATTCCTTCGGCGTTCTCACTTGCTCCACCGCCAAGATTTACTCTAGATAGCTAGCAACTTCCTAGAAGTTTGACCTAAATTCGCAGGATTATGAAGAAAGTTTTACATTTGGAAGCCATGAGGAAAATTTTAGCTACGAGCCTACCATTTTCGGACTTTCCAGTCGCGTCATCGTGGCATAGCAAGCGCTCTTCAAGCGTTCTTGTCCATACAGGACGCGAGAAGCCGAGACTCCGGCAGCAACCTCGAGAATCCGCGCTGCCTGGATTCCTTCTGGCCGATGTCAAACGCCACATTTCTCGGTCCATCACGCAGCTCTGAGCTCACACATTCCCAGGGCTCAGCCATCCGTTAGTCACGTAAACGCTGATCTAACCGACCTCCTTCCTCCGTCCGCCGTGGCCACTCGTGCGTTTCAATACCAACGCGTCCATGAGAACCTTCTCCAGGTTCGCTCGTTAGTACTCGTGTCTTCACGACCGGTCGAGGACGTCGCCAGCAAGCCGTCACTCTAGATCGGGTCAATTAGAGACATTTCCGTCGGGTCGGTCCGCTTGAGGTCGTTCCGTCGACGGAGGTCATCTGGCCACAGTGAAAGTTGGCTGTCGGCGCCACAGAAGACGGCGGTGGCCGTGAGAGTACCTGCCTGTCGCTTCCCCCTGCTGCAAATATCGGAACGTTGACATAACTCTGCAAGTTCTGCCCATCCATCCACCGGTGAAGCTCTCCGCCTGGTGCAGCAACCTGACCACGTTACCATCGCCTTCCTTCTCTTTCAGGACCCGGTCGCGCTGCGAGATGTTACGCCTGCAGCCAGAGCCTGCTGCACCGCCCTTCACGAGCTACAAGTGCGTGGTTTGATGGAGTGCACTGCACCGATGACGGACGCCCGTGTCCGCATCACTGCTGGGACTTCCGTTGTGAAGACGGTAACTGCCGCGAGGAGTGGGCGGCCGCGCTCCCAGCGAAACCCGCGCCACCCGGCCGCGCCAAGGGCGGTGGGAGCATCTGGGTCAGGGCCCCGGCTGAGCGAGACTGGTCTTAACCGGCCGCCCAGGCCAGGCGCGCTGCGTCATGGTTGGGAAAGGATGGCGTATGGTACGAGACGTGCTCCGGTCGCAACTAACGAGCGTTGCAAAGCCCTCCGCCACAGCACAGACGACAGCGGTGAACATCCACTCCTGAACTGTTCGCGATGATGCGTAGTCGGCTGTCGCATCGCTGCAGGTGATGCAATACGGCGTTGGCTGCCCACTGCGATCCACGTAAAGGAAATCGCTCGTAAAGGCCGCCGTAGGGCCGGGAAAGAGCATCGCTCTTTTAGCAAAACTCCGACGTCGACTAGGAGCGAATCTTCACCGTCCGCTGTCCTCGAGCAGTGTAACACAAGGGACGGAAGCCGAGACGGACGCGGGGTCGGTCACAACACGGGGCGCCGGAGGGCGCCGGAATCTGAGACGCGAGTTCGCCGCTCCCTCGTAGCCGCAGCGCCAGCGACGTCAACGGCTCGATGGCGGCGGCGCCCTCGTCGGCCGCCGTCGCCGCGCCGCCAGCGCCGCCGCCGCGAGCCGGCGTCGGCGGCCGGGTCTGGCGGCGGCGGCGGTGGCGGCGGGTCTAGCGGCGGCGGTCGCGTGGTCGGGGGCTGTTAACGGGCTGGCATCCGGCACAGTGCGGAGGCAACGAGCAACACCAGCGGCCAGGCCCAGAGCGCCGGCACCAGCCAGAGGCCAAGCCCAGGGCGCCGGCACCAGCCGCCGAACGAGCGCAGACAGCGAAATTGGAGAGCGCTGGCGAAGCGGAGTGAGAGCGCGCGTGTGTGCTTGGATTGGGAAGGGGGTTGAGTAGAAGCTGGCATGGGAGACAGTTTCGGGAATTGTTTGTCCTTGACGCCGTCGTGAGATCACTGAGAACGCGGAGGGTGTCGGAATCGGTCGTGACGCCTAGCGAGAAAGAAAAGCATTAAACCTAGCTTAACACCGGCATTAGTTTGCTCGATCGGAGGTCATCGATCTGTCAATAGTCGCCACGAGACACCGGAGCCAATGCGAGCAAAACCTGCCTTAGAAACGACCTGAGTCAAGATCAGCATGCGAACGCGTCCTTGAACGTTCTATCTGCCCGGGTCAGGCACGTCCTGACGGACTGCAGACCACCAGCTATGTGTGGCCCGATTGGTCCGGCGTCGCTCGAGTTGGTCCGACAAGTGGGCCGTCCGCTGCACCCCTCACACGTCACCAAATGTCACGGTCAGGGCATGTCACGCAACAGGCCATGTCAGCGTCATGCCATATCAGGCGTCTTAACAATCATGGCAAGCATGCGACCTTTCCTCGTACGTGCCCTTCCTTTCGGCTGCAGCACGCCGCTGCGGAAGGTGCGCTGCAACCTTCGCAGCAAACATAACGAATCCTTCGTGGCCAATTCGGGTAGACGAAGTCGGTGCTGTGGCCGGAAAGGAGGGCAAAGCGTGGGGGCAGCTAATCCGGCCGCGTCGCCATAAAGCCGGAAAGTGGTCGGACGCATTTCCGCAGATCCGGACACTGGTGCTTCTTGCAGCAGTTGGTCACGTAATAACGTGACCCCGGACTGATCGCGAACCTGACTATGAGACGAGTTTGTGACTGCAAGGGAATTCCTGGTTCTTTTGCGCGCGCGCTTAACTGTGGCAAAATGTTGGTTTCTAGCGATGATCCAATGTGTCGGATACAAAGCGTTATTCTCATCATGATAAGAACGGGAGTTCTTCGTCTCAAATTTTAGGTCAGCATTGGAAACAGAAATCAGGCACCAAATGACCATGCTGTTTGGTGCACATCTCACCGAAGGTTAGATCAAAATACAGCAAGGGCCTCTCAACACTAATTTCACCAGGTGGCTCAGTGTTTGATTTATCGGCGAGCTATTGAGCAAATTTTCCAAAGTAACCGTCGGAGGCGCAAGGATTTAGCCAAACGCGCATTGCAGTTGATTGCCTCACCATACACGGCAATCGCTGCCCAACCACTGAAAGTCGCTGCCAAATTTTGTCCACAAGTTCTGGCACTAATTATCCCAGGCGCACAAATGGTAAGATAAAGTACGTACGGCGAGTGGGTACCCACATATCGTTGGTAACATACTATGCTACGCAGACCAAGTATGCACATCAACGTTTATCCTGATCCAGTGAAGCCAGCGGGCCTCGAAAAACTCGCTGGAGTTTCTATAAAGACAAGTGCATCTGTTCACAACAAACACATTCTTACGTTGCACCTCCTGCTAACTAATTTGACAAGTTCCGCCTCGTACAAGTGCTAATCGTCTCACGTTGCCGGGCAAGGCCCCTGGTGACCGCGGTCGTCCTTATTCGGCCCCCATCCGTGGAAGGGGTGGAGCCTCCACACGTCATCGACACCCAATGGGCGGGCTCCGTGCGAGGGCATACCAGGCGAGATGCAGTAGATCGGGCGCGGAAATCCGACAAAAATGTGAGCGCGGCGCCAGCGGACGCGGATGATGAAATTAAGCCCTCCCTCTTCCAGCTAATCGAAACGAATCGAACCGCACTCTCACGATCGTGGAGTAAACACGACCGGAGAGTCGACAACGCCGATAGCTAAACATGTCGATCGTGGAGTAAACACGACCGGAGAGTCGACAACGCCGATAGCTAAACATGTCGGGGTCGTGGTCGTCCCAGTAAGGGCTTCGGCCGAAGCTGGCGCAGCAGTCGGCGCCGCTTCGCCCCTTAACAGCCCGTTACGCCGTCACCGGGCGCCTGCTGTGCTCAATCTTGCAGCTCCAACCACGACGGCCGTCAGTGCTGACATCTGGTGTCAGCGAGCGGCGGCTCAGGCGGATCCGGCCGGCGACTGCGGGTTTGGCCCGCACTGCAGCGCGCAATTTGGCATGCAACACGCTCTGCAATGAGGCCAACTGTTGCGGGCTGACGCAACCAGATGAACCTGCGCTCTGCTTGGCACCAGGGTCGGACTAGAGCGGGTGTGGTTGCGATTAAGTGTACGGTGCATAACGGCGCAGGAACGTCCCCAAAACGCCGGCTGGCTAGCCAAGTTCTAAGCCAACTTTTCATCCGTCACCACTGGATTAATGTTCAACTTCAGCGAAAGGGGGTGGACCGCTCCCCCAGCACACCACAATCCACACCCCTGCAGTATCCGCATGATCCCCAACCCGGAGCACGCGGCGGACTGAGCCCCGCACGGACGCCGCCCGTCTCCCCAAGCACCGCAGCAGCCGTTACAGCCGGCCCGCGCGGCCGGCGGCGCTCCTCGCCACGCCGCGCCGCGCTGCGCGCCATTCAGCTCACCTCTGCGGCCAGCTCCGACGACACTTTCTTCCAGATGGGCCGCTTGCGCGTGTACTGGCGCAGCGCCGTCTGCACGTCGGGGCGGCGCCAGATCTTGAGGAAGAGCGCCGTCTCCGTGTCGCTCCAGATGGTCAGGTTCTCGTCTTCGCCGGCCAGGCGTTCCGCCCGCACGTCGCTCCGTCCGGCGGCCATCGCGGCGCGCTGCTCGCTCTCGCTCCCGGTCTTAGCTCTCGCGCTCGCTCTCGGTCCTCGCGCTCGATCTGCTGGCGCGGTGCGCTGCGCGGGCGCTCGACGGCGGAGGCGGCTACACTGCCAGCGCGCCACCGCCGCCGCCGCCGCCGCGCCGGGACGGGCGCAGAGGCGCGTGCAGGAGATCAGTTCGGGGGTGGCGGTAGGCGGCGGCGGTCCGGGGGCGGGTGTCCGTGGTGCAGCCGTGGGATGTCGGCTCGGCGGTAAGGACCGAAGAGCTGGGCCACCGCAGCACATAACATCTTAGATCACGGTGATGACCAAGCCACACGCTGGCCTTGAGATTCGCGTGCGGAGGCCAGTAGACACCCGCCTTCGCCCCACTCCACCCTCCGTCGCCTCTGCCGCCGTCCCTGCCACTGCTTTGTGTCTGGCCGCGCGCTGTCAAGTATTCCGCGATGCGTGTAGACGCCCGAGAGTTGTGAAACGGTGGCGAGCCCCGGGCGCCGCCAAAAGGACCCCTGAAGACGCCCATTACGCCCGCAGGCGACGCCAGCCGGTTGTAACGGATTGGCGTTGTCAGGGCGGCACTCAGTGCTGCTAATTGCAGCAGATGAGCTGATCCAGGATTGTATGATATTAGACGGGTGATATCCGAAAGGCGACTGTTTGTCGGTCCAATCTGCAGAATGACGGTTTGTTTGCGACAGGACATCTGGCTAACGTGCTGGTTTCGCATCGTTAGTGGAAGGGTATGCTAACCCTGTGTGCAGCCGCTAAGCGCTGTTTCCAGGATCTCCTTCTTGACGCATTTGTGGAGCAGGTTTAGTCACTTTTCACTGCTCAGCGTCCCTACCCCGCACTCCCTAAAAATTGATAAACTTCACCTGGGCTGGAGAGTCTGGAAGGCGATGGTTAGCTCCCGAGCCAGGTCCCGTTTGTTTCCTCATGGACAAAATACATAGGTGTGGACAGAGGGGAGGGGGGGGGGGATTAGTGATATTACTGCACCGCTTCGAACCGGTGAAATTTATGACACTGCGTTATGGAGATCAGACAGCAATTGGCTGCACGCAACAGCGATTTCGCTTCGAAATTCTCAGCGAGCAGCACTTCGTGCACAATTGTTGAAAGCAGGCTACCAGCGCCGTAAAAATGCGCCACGACACCGGTCCACGTCGCATAAAGCTTTCCACGAATCCTCTACAACATTGCAACGTGACGCTGAACGCACGTTGGGAACTTGTCTCACCAGCTCACACTAGCGCGAAAGCAAGACGCCACCCTTTCCACCAGTTAGACCCAATCACGCTCCTGCTCGACCCAGATTCGCCGCACATGGCTACTGAGTAGCTCAGTCACCCTATCACAGTCTCCCCTCCCCCCTGCCACCCCCGACGCTGACCTTGACCCCCTTCCCGCTTACTCGACGCAGCAGCTGGACCCGGATTATCCAGCAGCCTGATATTTCACGCCGCCGGCTCGTGGAATGTCAGAGTGCTGGAGAGAGCGTTACACCGCTTCCACTACTGCGCAGGGGCCGGCGGCGTGCCGGGAAACGGGTCTGCTCCGCGCCGGCCGGCGCCGAACGCGGTGGATCAGGCGCTGTCTACCGACGATCTTGACAGCTCGCGGGAAAGCCAGCGGTTCGGCGACGCCGGCCGGACCGTCGCGACGTCCCCGAGACGAGGCTTTGAGACATGGGCGACGCCATAACCTGTCGCGCGGTTTCCTGAATACAGTGGAAGAATGCTGATGGAGGTATTGAATGTTTCACCAACTGAACCACAGCATGGCTTGCAGTCCACCTGTACAACAGCGTGACAACATCGTTGACTAGAACGGTTGTTGGCATCAGCTGTCGGCCACTGCTGTCGCACAGTTCTGAAAGTTCTGGTTTGAAAAAATGATCGTATTGGGAAGCCGGTACTCAAGTCGTATTCCGGCACTGTGGCGCAGTATTCTTAGCGGGCCTTTTCCACGACAAAACACCTCGTCGTCTTCGCTACGGCCTTCCGATCGCCATCCAGTTTGGCAGATAGTTTTATGTATAGCCCCTACAACAGTCATGTGATTTTTAGTTTTAAATACTGCAGGTCACAAGATAGAGGTCACCAAAGGTTTTGGGTCACCTGGGAAGCTGCATCAAAACATAGGTTTCATATGTGCGATGTTTACTTTAATCTGATGAAACCGCCATGTAATTTACGTCCATTAAAGAACATCAAAAATATTCCTTTCAAAATGGAAAAGATAATTTCCATTTATCAGCATCCTTTTAGGATATTATGACCAGCCATGGCTCTTTCTTCACTGCGTAGCCTCGCACCTTTCTCACGTCCATGACCTCCCAAAAAGTCCTATTTTGATATTTTCTAAGCTTTTTCTTGCTGAAAGACGTTCAGTGATGAGTGATGTGAGGAGTGATAAGAAGCAATGACAGATGGTTTTAACTGTAACCCCAACCCCGTGAAATGTCCCCGATGTCTGCGGTGAGATCATGCTATTGCCTTTAGATGTCGTTGCTGCGTATGACACGTCTCACAGCCTATATGGATATCATCTGAGCTTTGGTCGTCCAATCGATACGTTGGAAATGTCTTCGAGCACGTGAGAGATCACGTGGGTCAAACGTCAGTCAGTGGCCCAACATTGAACACCGGTTACATGTGGAATTTTGCATCTATTCGACACAGGCATCATGTGAATGGTGTGTTTTAGCCTAACATGATCAATGCATGATGAGCGAGCTATTTTCACGTCACCAATGTGCAGCCAAACGCATAGCCTTGTCATTAAAACACATGAGCCTTGCAATGCAGTTCCGCAATGTGGGTGATTGTTGTGCCGCTATGTGTATAGGATGGCAACTGAACGGCTTCACAGGTTGGGTAAGCGAATGCTGGTAGCCGTATTGAATCGACGGCGGATCGGTTTCGGTGTATATTTGGGGAAAACTACGAGCATGGGTGCTGACATGGGTAACACATTTATAGTCTGTCAGTTAGGTGCTTCACAAGTTGCGCATTATAGCCATTCTCATGAATAATTACGATGAAAAACATTTTGAAACCTCTTTAACACTTTTCAGCGATGATTTTGTAAGTAGACCCATTCAAAGCGATTTCTGTTCTAAAAATGTTTGTGCAAATATTTAGAAATACGTTTGTAAAGACGCATAATTTGATGAAATTGCAGTTGGCTTGCTATAAGCAGGATCTTGCTTTTGTGGACAGGTATGAAACCAGATCTCTTGCTACCGTAACTTTTCAAAACTTGCCTTAAACATTTGGTGGCATCTGTGACACAGGCGCAACAATATAAACTGCTATATTATTGTAGCGTCCCTGTCCATAGGTATGCGGTACTTACAGTACTTACAGAGTTCGCTGACAGCACGCACAGAGCTTACAGGGCGTACATATATCAACATGGTCCAAGATGAATGATCGTTGAACGAAATGATTCTCAAAGCCCACCCTGCTCCACAGGCGCCGTTGCAAACAACGATGGGGCAGCCGTCATCTAACGATCTGAAGCGATGCACACTTCTGATTGCCAGGCCAAACATTTTCCTGGAATTTGGGTTAACTAAAGGCATGAGCTGAAGACATGTCTTCAAAGGGTCATGTTTAATACACAAAACGCATTAGTTGCTGCATGTGGGTTACTGATTGTACGGTAATGGAATTACAGGAAAAAATATTTTTCTTGTTTTTCGGGAACTTCTCTGCTAAAACCCTTTTCAGTGCATTAATTATCGTGAACACGGCTGATGTTATCGTTAGGCTCCTAGTAACAGTTGAATTCATTCACCCCACCTTTTATAAAGAAAAAAATTTGGTAAAACATTGTCATAAAAGCAACAGAATGAGCTAGGACAGTCGTCGCACAAACGCATCGTCCAGTTCCATCTTTTCGTAGCACAGACAGCTTTCACCACAAAATAGCACACACTAATCCGCTAATTCCAAGAGGTGCAGTCCGGAGCCTCGGACCTTGGTGATGCAAACAAGCAACACCACCACCAGCAAGCACCACTCCCTCGACAAGTGTGAATTACTCGTCCACGTTCTGTGAAGCCGACCACGAACAAATTCTCCGACCGACCAAAGCATGGACGCAACAGTTTTTAGAGATATATGTTTCCGGCAACCGATGGCTGCTGACGTTCTCCGTCTGTCTGTCTTTTCAGCACACCCGTATCGTGGTCACACGCACGTGTGCAGTTGGTACCAGGCATTTTGGCCGATATGGTTATTGCTGACTGCATTGATAGGGACCGAAGGTTATGGTTGCATCTCTTCTCGGCTCCTTTTGGTCTTCTTGATTATGCACGCATTATTTTCTTTTAAAACGGCCATTCAACATAACAACCTTATCGACTAGCTGCAACGTCTCACCTGTAACCACGGTCCAAGGTCAGGCTACTGACTGGTGTGGGGCCTGCGCGACCTCTCATCACACACTTCAAAATATCACCAGTGCGTTTGTTATGCGAAAAGCTATGGCCATAACCGTATCGGCTACGTTGGCGTCACACGCACCGAAGACGCGCACAGGTCCATACCGTGACCCCAATATTTACCTCGTTGACGCGTGACAAAATCGGGGTTATACAGAAAATTGTGTGTCCATTCAGGCGATGCGCTCACCTTCCTTCCCTGAACAATAATTTTCGATCAAAATAGGGCAATGCCAAAAAGTCACGAATGTGAAAAATATCTTGTAACTTGGTAAAATTGATCGAAAGTACTCATTTCGAGCTGCACTTGATGCAACGGATCATCCAAAGACAAATAATCTGCCAGTTTTGATGAGATGTTAACAGTCCTTTCTAGCTCCTTTTTTGTCTTTTCGTTCTTTCCAGATAAGCCCCCAAAACCGTGACCTCAACCTCGTGAGCATATTGTTTAGAAAAATAAAAACAGCAGAGCTGCTATTTGTGATATAGATAAGCACGTATGCCGAACCAGCTCCAAATCAGAGGGGTCATGTTAAACTGTTCTAGGCTTTCCTCAGTGCCTTATTCTGGAAGCGCCAAGCATGCAACGTTGCGATGCAAACAGTCGAAAACAACATCACATAACTGGCGATTGAG